ATTCTATCATGTTCATGAATAACAATAAATGGTATAAATATTTTATCAAAACTTAGTTTAATCCTTATTGATTATTTTTTTTCTTGACTTTTATCAATTAAATGAATTTTTTTAATATAAAATATAAAAAATTACCCTAATTACTACGAATTAATCATATTTGATGAGAGTGTTATCAAACTCAAGAACTAACCTGAATAATAAATAATAAATTATTGTAGTACCGTCATCTAATTTACTGAAGAATTCATAATTTTTTGTACACTTTGATCTTTCTTAAATATAAGAGCAAAGGTTCTTGTTTAAAAGCAATTCAAATTTATTGCAAGTTCAATTAACTCTATATTCAAATATTTAGAATCTTAAATTGTACAAATTATTAAATCGATATATCGAATATTTATTGATTCTTTATTATCCATGTATATAATAAAATTTTACTTCACCAGATATATTATTGCTTAAATAAATTAATAATTATTTTGAATAATGAGTTTTTAAATAATTTTTATCCTTTTTGGCTTAATTGAAGATGTGAATTCATAATGGAAAATATTATACTCATATTTTTCTTAGGATCAGAAATTTACTTATAAGAGTGGATCTTCAGTAACATATTTAGATCCCGAAGGTTTTGGTAGCCATCGAAGTAAACAACAGCTAATTTATAACTTGCAGCACACCTTCAAGTTATATCACTCTAAATAGTGCAAATCCATAAGGTGATAAATATAATTATAATAACGGATATTTTTTTACAGTGGATTTATATTTTTCAGGTACATGGACATGATTGTTACTATTAAGATAGACTCATTTTCATACACATATCCCTACACTTCACCTACAAATTATTAAATGGCCTCTGGATTTTGTGATGACCTTACTTATGAAATTAGCACTGTTAATTTTATAATGAAAAGACCTAATTCAATATCTGGTTATTTGTTATTTAAAATATATTTATTTCAGCTCCCAAATGTTACCCTACTTGTAAATAATGTACAAGTCCAAAATTCAATTAATGTAAAAGTTGTTATTATGGATTACCTACAAACTATATTTTTCTTCCCTGTCGATCTAATTAATATTATCATCAAGAATCAGGATGCAGAGACATTGGCTTTATTGATAATCCTTCATACTATAATGGATTTTTTAATCTTTTCCAAGTATTGAATTTAAATATCTTTGTTAATGTTATTGAATTATAATCATTATGGTTAAATAAATTTTTCGGTTTAATATATTCGACCCACAACATGTATATATCATAAATTCTTATGATTACGGGATTTTTAAGTTTAATTCTGCCCGTCTTATTTAAATTATAGCTCAAACAATATGTATGATTTAATTGCATACATTGATATCCCTAAATATCCATTTCTATTTTCAGCAATAGGAAATTACTCTTAAAATTCAACTATTTTAAATTAGTGATAACACAGCTGTATGGGGATTAAACCATGTTTAAATGACTTCAGGTTTTTTTCTAAAAACTGTTAATTGTGTGAGGTATCATTTAGATGTAAGACTTGTGCAAATGGATACTATAGGTACTTGTATTGGATTGTTCAGAACAATATTTAAATTCATATGGTTCTTATTTTTACGATTTTGATTATGAAATACCTTGTATTAACTTTTTATTTA